TCTTGTAATGTTAAGATGGCTTATCAAGCAGTGTGGGGTTCTGCTTTATCATAGAGTAGTAATGGTAAAACCTGTTGACGAGTAGGGTTTGTTTCTTGAAGAATTTTGCCATTATTGTTCAAGTTCTACAGAATAGACATTTACTGTCATTATCACACCTGATCTCAAAATGTTGATATACACCATGAAAATAATGATTTACACCATGAAATGGGTACCAAGTAGTTACCATTACTTTTCTAAGTAAGGTTTGCTTCAGGTACTTGTTCCGGTCTCGGCTATTGTGTTTTTTGCTTGCGATTATCACAGAGAATCCACTTTTCATCACTTGTAACAATTCTGTCAAATCTGTTCATTTCTGTACCTACTTATCAAAGCAAAGTAAGCATCACCATGTTCCTCTATCTGTATAGACTTTATTTTATCAATTTGGTGCAAATGAGTCAATATTGCGGCGTGTCAAACCATTATACTAATTCCTTGGGTTATGTAAGGTCCTGCTTCTACCATGACTTTTTTACCTTAATCACTGGTCTCCCTAGTGTTTCATTCTTCAATTCATTAAAGTTACAGCCTATATACGTGCTACTGCTCAGTACAGGCTCATTTTTGAGAGGGCTTTAGGGCAAGAAAGTGTCCGCCGCGATGCCCTAATGCTTATTGGCGAAATTCACATATCTTCGAAATAGTTTTCATTTCAAATTAAAATCTTAAAAATCGTAGATACTATTTATCTATTACTACATATTTTCTTGGTTTGTAGGACAATACATACCCAAAAAATTGCGACAATTTCTACAATAATGATAAACATTTTTACAAGAACGATAAGGCAAGGGAGCACAAATCCAACAACAAAAAATACACAGGGTAGCTGCATACAAATGCTATGATTTTCTCCTGTATCTTGGAGGCAGATTACACATACATAAGTTGCACAACGGCAAACATCCAGACCTAGAACAATTATTTGTTGGCTATTCTAATACTTGCTCTGTGAGGAATTTGAATCCGCGGCTTTCAGCACCGCAATTCAACGCCAAGCCATTGCGCTATAGACCGGACAGTAATCAGTTTTAGTGTTTAATAAACGTGTTTAATAAATATGTATTCAACCAGCATGTAAATCTACACAGGTTGTCAGTTACACACGTTTGGCTGTTCTCCCCCCGGGCACAGAAACTGACCCGCCGTATGCAAATGAGTATGTGCTTAGCTGCGTCAGATTTCCCTCGGATCCTGATGACCGCTTAGAAGCAGTGCGAGCTTTCTCTATAGACACGCTCAACAAGAAGCTACTTCTGAATGTGGAGTCACGCGGCTCTCCACCAGCTGTCACCATTGTTGACATGAATACTAATGTCGACATTGGCAAGGTAACCTTTTAAAAAATTATTCTTAACATTACGTTATATTTGGGCGATCAAAGGAAAAACATACACATTGAAATCTTTATTCTACAAACAACTTTTGTTTATTTTAATGATATACAGGAATTTAAATTACAAAAAGAGCGAAAAGTTATTAAAGCATGGTACATTTGCTTGTTATTGTATGCAAACACATACTGCTAGTACTTTAATCAAAATTATCTATAAATTATTCCTTATGTTATGTTAGAATTAACTCCATCTTATTACATGACAAGTCACATTATGCTTGAATAAGTCAGAATAATTGTGTTTCTGACATTCATGTTAGGGAGGTCTAACCTTAAGGAAAGCATAGCTTAGAAGTTTTAAAATTAAAAATCATAATAAATACACAGAAAATACTGAATAACTGAAATAAAATAAAATAACAATGTTATTTTGTTATTTTATTTTAAAAGGTAGTTTTTAAAGTCTGTCTGCCATTCCAAAAAACTATTAAAATTATTATTGAATAGTATTGTTTGTTACTATTATTTACATATTATTTCACTTCCTTTTGATATTGTTTATCATCTATGCTTATAAATTAACACATATTAATATATGAACTATAGATAACTAAGATATAATATAAATACTTTTTTGTTTTAAATGGAACACTTCAAGGCTATTGAAAAAGAAACTGTAGAAATAACAAGAAATAATAACTCATTCAATCAAATTGTCATTTATTTTGTTGGTAACATTTTAAAAAATTTCGTGACAAACTCTGCTTTGTGCGACTGTTTGACCATAGACTATTATGTGCTTGACAATTAATAATGGTATGATTCTAATCAATTAATGTTTTATAAATTTAATTTATTGTATTTTGTAACAAATATTATACCAAAATTTTAGCGGTATACAATTTAGGTATAATATTTAGCCAAATCTAACTTGTGCTACAGTCCCTTCAGCGGTGCCTAGTTGACTGTCGGTATATCGAAGTGCTGAAGTGTTTATACAGTAGGGCTACGATGGCTATCCGAGTACAGAACCGGAGTTCGAAACCTATCCAACTGCAGAGAGGTGTCTGAAGTGTTTGTACAGTATGGCTACGATGGCTATCTGAGTACAGAACCAGAGTTCGAAACCTATCCAACTGCAGAGAGGTGTAAGACAGGGTGACGTTATATCCCCGAAACTCTTCACCGCTGCGTTGGAAGACATTTTCAAGCTACTGGACTGGAAAGGATACGGTATTAACATCAGTGGCAAGTACATCACTCACCTTCGATTTGCCGACGATATAGTCCTTATGGTAGAATCGCTGGAGGACCTTAGCCCTATGCTAAATGACCTCAATGGTGTCTCCCAACGGATAGGTCTTAAGATGAACGTGGACAAAAGAAAGATCATGTTTAATGTCCATGTCACACCTATGCCGGTAGTTGTTGGGAGCACTATGCTCGAAGTTGTTGATGAGTACGTTTACCTGGGACAAATAATCCGACTAGGTAAGTCCAACTTCGGCCGAGAGGTCAATCGACGGATTCAACTCGGCTGGGCAGCGTTCGGGAAATTACGACACATCTCGTCAGGTATACCTCAATCTCTGAAAACTAAAGTCTACAACCAGTGCATGTTGCCAGTGATGACTTACGGATCTGAGACGTGGTCCTTCACTGCTGGCCGTATGAGGACGCTCAAGGTCGCTCAGCGAGCTATGGAGAGAGCTATGCTCGGAGTTTCTCTGCGTGATAGACTCAGAAATGAGGATATCCGCAGTAAAACCAGAGTGACCGACATAGCCCAACGGATTAGTAAGTCGAAGTGGCAATGGGCCGGCCATATAGCTCGAAGAACCGATAACCGATGGGGAAAAAAGGTTCTCGAGTGGCAACCTCGTACCGGTAGGCGTAGTGTAGGGCGACCCCCACTAGATGGAGTGACGACCTGGTAAGACATGCAGGAGGTGGGTGGATGCAGGTGGCTCAGGACCGTGATTTGTGGCATTACTTGGGGGAGGCCTATGTTCAGCAGTGGACTTGTGAAGGGCTGTAATGATGATAATGATGATGAAATCTAACTTTCTTCAGTGTGCGCAATATGCTTAAAAGGATGTACAATGTTTTCTCTTCACATATTAATATATAGATATTTATTTAGGATCTACACTGGGATGTACAACGAATGGAAAAAATGATTGTCTATTAAATTGCAGAACCTGATCAAAGAGGGTCTAGTGCTGATGGAGAACACTCGCGAGCAACGGCTCGCCGGGCTGGTGAGCGAGTACCGCGCGGCGCAAGAGCACGCCAAGAGTTCGCGGCTGAACCTGTGGCGGCACGGCGACATCACCGAGGACGACGCGGTCGAGTTCGGTGTGCGTCGCTAGCGCATGCTGCCCTGGTACGATGCTACCGCCTCGCCCTCACACGCGCTCCACTGTGCCACCTGCACGGCGCCGCACATCGAAACCATCATACACACCATCATATACGAGTTTCTGTGAAGGCACCAGTATGCGTACCGCAATACAACGTTCCACCCCCATAACTATTCCGATACTGCCTTCAATTGTTCTGTCGGTCATTCAGTTTAATGTTGTGATTATTAAAAACTTTTAAAAGTGGATTTACCTTCATAGTTTTATAACACGTAATCGTGTGGGTATTTGTTACATGCTGTTATATGAAAATATAGATATTTAAAATTACCATCATATTTTTGTCAGCATTTGACACTTACTTCTTATCTACATAATAATATATATCTTGTGAAAAAAAGTTATTTACATATTTTTATATTTCTGCGATGGTAGAATAAATATTATAAACTAAATGTGTTATGTATTATGAAGTTTAGTGTAAAAACATTTACCTGCTTTTGCATAATAATTTATTTGCGGACTTTAAAACTGTGCATCTTGTATATTGAACAAGAATATTGTGTATTTACTTTTATATTTACTACATACTTTTTATTTACTTCCTTTCTCTTAGAATGTATGTTTTGTACCTCTTTAAAGATATTTATTTTGGCATAATATTGATAGTCTATGTGTAACAATAGCTAAATGTGTTCTCCGACTGATTTTTTGAATGAACTTACATTGTACATCATCACTTCAATGCATATTTTAGTCTTATATTTCGTACTTACAAGTTACGTGTACGATGAACCTACCTCTCTCCTGAGATGTTAAGATATAAATTTTGTTTTACGTACATTAGAGTACCACACGGTGCGTGGATTGTTAAACTTGATATATTAAATATTTTAGGAATTATTTTTGTTTTTTATTACCGTAATTACAGCGTTATTATATAATATTAAAGCTTAATTATAAAATGATAATAGATGATCAACAGAGATATTAGCATTTCTGATCAAACTTACAATTATGGAGCTACCTCAGCTACATATTATGTAAGATTAAAGCCTCAGATACACTAGGGAACATTTTGTCCCGTAACATGATGCGGAACACTCAATCTACGTGATGATGCAACGTTGCACAGTGTCCCACAACATGGCCCGCAACATTTTACGTGACGCAGGACATGTTGCTTGTTTCCGCTGCGAGAGCGAGCGCACGTGTCCCGCATCAGTTTCGCGCCATTTTGTTACCAGGAGTGTAGTATGCACGACGTGCCGTGCAACATGTCAGTAGTGTGGGGAAAAGAAACCGTCCTTTTTCTTCTTGAGCTATACCAGAGTCATGTTTTGTTGTGGGATAGGTACTTCGAACCAAAATTATCCAAATAAAATAAAGAACAATGACGCGTAGGAGGATATTGCCAAAGCGCTTAAATTACCCAGACCGGTTTGCGACATATCACTGATATGCAAAAGAATATTATATAATTTAATTTACTCAAAAATTCCTATCTTACAAGCCAAGTATGATAGGATCCCAAAACAATTTGTATTCGATAAGAAGTACAGGATACATTGAAATAATACTAGTTTTTACGGAATTTATCGCGTATATTTAACTTTTTAATTACCCGACGTTTCGAGAGCTTTACAGCACCCATGGTCACGGGAAGGACTGAGATGTTCAACGTCCAGCTGTCATAGTTAACCGCGGTTACCATAGATTAAAATTTAACTTTTGTTCCGATCTACACAGTATGAACTTATGGTATCATGGAATCTTGCAGTTGTACGCTTGGGTTGGGATTTAATTTTATTTATTATAGGATCCCAAGCAGATGGTAGCACCCAGCCATCTTCTCTATTGAAATTAGGATGTTTTTTGATTTCAATAGCCTCGCGAATCATCCTTGGAAGGAATCGGTGTTCTTTAGCGAGGATTTGTGGTCTATCAAATCTGATGTAGTGACGGGGGCGATCCTGTACATGTTCACAGTCTGCAGTCTTTGAACATGTACAGGATCGCCCCCGTCACTACATCAGATTTGATAGACCACAAATCCTCGCCAAAGAACACCGATTCCTTCCAAGGATGATTCGCGAGGCTATTGAAATCAAAAAACATCCTAATTTCAATAGAGAAGATGGCTGGGTGCTACCATCTGCTTGGGATCCTATAATAAATAAAATTAAATCCCAACCCAAGCATACAACTGCAAGACTCCATGATACCATAAGTTCATACTGTGTAGATCGGAACAAAAGTTAAATTTTAATCTATGGTAACCGCGGTTAACTATGACAGCTGGACGTTGAACATCTCAGTCCTTCCCGTGACCATGGGTGCTGTAAAGCTCTCGAAACGTCGGGTAATTAAAAAGTTAAATACACGCGATAAATTCCGTAAAAACTAGTATTATTTAAATGTGTAGTGTTCGCGTAAATATAAGAAATCATTAAGTACAGGATACAATTGAAGGAAACTGACCATTTGGAAGGATTGGGTCAAAGAGAGCTCAAAGTTTTCACGGATGGTTCTAAGACAAATGAAAATGTCGGGTCTGGGGCTTTCTCTGAAGACCTTAATATCCAAATATGCACACCGCTGGATACCCACAACACAGTCTTCCAGGCTGAATGCATGGGTATCATCCAAGCGGCTATAGCAATAGATGCTAGGAAGGTGAAAGACTTCTCCATAAGAATACTGACCGACAGTATGGCGGTACTACAGCTCTGAGTTGCAATGTTACGAACTCGGGACTGATACACGAATGCCATGAACGATTGAATGAGTTAGGTAAGCACAACATTGTGACTGCAATGGATCAAGGGACACAGTGGATCTAGAGGCAACGATGCAGCAGATGAACTGGCCAGACGGGGATCGGCTCTGGCAACTACAGGGCCGGAACCAATAATACCGATCCCCTTTAGCTACGTTTGTTCACTGGTACATAGATACTTCAATAATTTACACGCTCAGCTTTGGAAAAATTTAGTAGACTGTAGACAAGCTAGGAAGGCCCTGCATGAAATAAACAGTCGCCTAACCAAGGTTCTAATGCGACTGAACAAGCCACAGATCAGGATAGTAACAAGTGCTATCACAGGACATGGCTCTTTTAACAAACATTTGTTGACCATAGGTGTTACTGATAGCCCCCTGTGCAGGGCATGTTGCTGACTTGTCCAGAAGTCGCTTCATACAGGGCTAAACATCTCGGCACGCCGGGATCGCTCCCCGAAGTTGCTTACAACATCAAAGGACTGTTGAACTTCTTCGGGGAAATATGGCTCGAATAACCACATGCCCACACGCAAAAGATGCGCTTAGACGTGGAGTTGCGGAAAACAGCCCGTCGTAAACTAACTATGCAAAAGAAACGGCGTTGGTGATAGCACGCAGTCTTGTGGAACAGAATCGTTAATGGGCTTAAAATCGGAGCATGCACCGTCTACTACGACTGGTGCCCCGATCTGTAAGAAAACTGGTGGTCTAATTACACAATTTCTCGGGTATCCCATAGGAAGAAAGCTTCGTAAGAAACGCTTTGTGCCCAACCCGATCAAAGGCCTTCGCTATGTCCATACTAACTAACGCCTTCCGTTGGGAGTAAGTATCGACATAGCGAAGGCCTTTACATGGACTTGGATCTTGGACTCTACTGCCTCCGCCCATCTATGAGTTACGTAACCCAAAAGATCACCAGATGACCAACCCCGACGGAAGTCGTACTGGCGGTTACTAATTAGTTGGTGATCTTCAAGGTACCTCATGAGCTGGCAGTTCATAATGGATTAGATTATTTTGGAGAACAAGGAGGTGATAGCGATAGGCTTGTAGTTAGACGGATCTGAGCGGTCGCCTTTTTTATGGATCGGGTGCATTAAATTTGTCTTCCATGATTTCGGGACTACGCCTAGGGAGTAGGAGTACCGGAAAAGACGCGTTAAAACCGATACCAACTCCGAAGTACACGTCTTTAGCACAATAGGGGGGACGCCATCAGATCCACTCGACTTGGCAACTATAATGCCAATCACGCCGGTAACCAGCAGAACGCAACCGTGATGGGAGCGTGAGTGGCACAGCAATCAGTTGTTACGACACTCGGAAAATTAACGACAGGGAAGCATAAGAATCTCCAATCGACAAGTATCTTAATGCAATGGCAAGTCTGATATGAGAGCCAACAGTGATTCGTTGTATTGTATCCTGTTTGTCTATGGAAGGTCCGATCATTTGTGATAAAGTTTCAAATCAGATGTTGACATTCAAGTACAATTTACAAAAGATCTGTCAGACATTCGGAGATCACTTAAAACATTAAAGAAAGAATTCCCGTTCCAGTAAGAAATTCCGCATCCACCACCTTCTCTTTCGCTTACGTTTCACTCCCTAAGTACGAGTAAGTACTATGTACGCAGCACTAATCGCCACAACCACCTCGAGCGACATTACTATAAACACTGACTAGTGAGTAGTGACTCCTGCAAAATGCAGGACTTCCGCAACATATGTCTCGGGGTATTCTAGTAGGAGATTTGAGGATAGTTGTGGTGGTGGTGGGGATGATGTTGTTTGTTATTTATATTGCAGTTGAGCAAACTCAATGAGTTCGTCCGATCCAGATTATCCATTAGTAATGAAGAGTCCAAAAAATCCTACCGGAATAATTGATTCCCGCAATAGGAACTCACATCGATCACAGACAGAACAAGCCTTCCAGCGTGCCGTTGACTACAATATTGCCCAGAATAATTACTCATAATACTGCAACAGGCGATGGCAGCTGAAATCTCCCCCTAAGATGTCTACCTGACGACATAACTCAAGAAAAGGAAGTCAATCTGTTTTGGTCTAAATTGTTAAATTTTGAAAACCTTTGCAGCGAGAAAGAATTTACTGTTTTCGCACAGTTCGCACTTTACGCTTTATGCATCCCTCACGCCAATGCAGATTGCGAGCGCATCTTTAGCAAGATAAATCTTATTAAGACGAAAAGTCGGTACAGAATTGATGAAATGACTAACACTATTAATAATGTGGTTATCGCTTCTGACAGCACAAAACGTCTTGAAAAGGGATGTATATCATTTAAACCCACGAAACAAATGGCAAATGAAATTGTCTTCAATGTCCTCTATGCAATAACTTCTCTGCAATCAAATCCGTCTACATCTACACGTCGAGATTTCGAACTCGAAGAAGAAGACGACTTCGAATTTTCCATTCCTGTTTAGTTCATATTGTATAATTCCGTGCCCTAAGTTTTATTATTTTAATAAAAAAAAACAGTTAATAACATGTTTTTAATTTATGCAAATATAAAGAAATAGCAAAAACCTATTAAAATTGAATTTAGACAGCTTAAATAAATAAAATAATCTTTAGCAAAAAAAAAACAATAATTCTACCCAAAATACAATATTTTCTAGCGTGGCAACACCATAATTTCACACCAACTATTTCCCAACACTGCACAAGTCGAAGTCACAAACTAGTAAGAGTACTACTCGTAAGTCGAAGCCATGAAGGTTAGAGAACAGTAGAACGATCGCCGTAGAAAATAGTGTCCCAGAAATATGGACAAAATAAGTGAAGCGCTGTAATCGCTAAGTTACCTCAATAAAAATCATTTTCAATCTATTTTTCCGATCAGATGCTAAACCACTTGCACATCCACGCACAATAAAATATTTCTCCATTTTTTAATGTTTGTTTTTGTCAAAAATTACAAAATTACGGAACATGAAAATTTTCTACGAAAAAATGAAATGAAAATTTGTACGTTATTCAACTAACTTCACCTACTTGAACAGTTAACTTCGCAGTCACTACTCACCGACGTCAGCGCCGCTATGTATTCTACAATTTTCAAGGACAGGCGGGCTTTTAGTACGTATAATGTAAGTAGTTAATAAAGTATAATGTAATTATTATAGTGATCGTTCTCCTGTTCTCTAACCTTCATGGTCGAAGCATTCATTCGATAAAAGCCAACTTCATGGCTATGGTCTCGAAATGAAACGTCAAATTAAACACATCATTTGTGT